TGGCCGCTCAGCCGAGTCAACCAGTGCCCCCTAATGGTCTTTATATTTTAATGAGTGAGTATAGTCACTTATATTCGTTGTGCTTGCTGATTATTTGGCTTAATTTCTACATCTTACTTGGTATTTTTTATCAGTTCTACTATTTTTATGTTTTATTTTTCTTTCCTGACTTCTGGTTTGAATGACTTTCTGTTGTTTCATTTATTCTTAATTGTTATCCACGCTATTTTAACATGCTTATCTAGCTTAAAGTCTCATAGTAATCAAACTTGCTCTGTACATTATAAGGATCCTAGAAATACCTTAATTCAGGTAACCTACTTCCAACCTTACTTGTTATTATTTTCTAGTATTTTATATCTATCGCGCTTTGTCTTCTTGTAATCTATTTTAAATATTTGATACATATAAAATAATATATGCAAACTATAAAGCAGAATAATATAATGGAGACTACAACCCCATCACCAAATGTTTGGCTTAAACATTAACCATAACTCAGTTTCAGCTTCTCCTCTATTTCATCCCCCTTCATTCCCTCCTCAGAGGGAACCACTGTTCTGATTTTGCATTTATTATGTAACTGTATTTTTGAAAATCTGTTTAGTTGCAATAACAAGAGAAAACATTTAAAATAAGCTAAATTTGTTAAACACATTTGTGGAACAAATTTGGGGTGTTTAATATGTACATTTTCTAGGTTGTGCCCGTAAAAGGAAAGTATCTTGTTCTTCCACTCCCTTCTCCATGATTCCATTGGATGAAATGTGGTCATGGTGACAAGCCATCTTGGATCAGGTGAATAAAGGTCTTTCTAACTTGATGCTTATTTATAAGAGGAAAATAAGCTTCTAATTTTAAGGCACTGCCATTTTAGTTTCTGTCATGGTATCCAAACCTATATCCCAACTCAGAAATCAAAAGATAACGTCTGAAGTTGAACTGAGAATGAGTGCTATAAGGATGTTATTTAGAAATATTGAATCATATGCCAGAAGAAATAGCTAAAAGACTTGAAAAATGTTGCCACTGGGAGTCTTGATTTTCTAGAGAGGAATGGAGTAGGCGACCACTATTTGTCCTTTTAAATTGTGTACATGCATTATTTCCATTAAAATTACTTTAAAATAAGTCTTTCTCACACACAAATTTGTAATTTGTGGTTGCTGTCACTTTGAATGAAATATGTTTTTGCACAGGAGATTGAGATTTAAGGTATTAGACAAAATAGTTATCACGCATCTTATTTGAAACTGTACCACTGCCAACAAAAGCTTGATCAACGACATCACTCTCATATTTGAAATCCCGCAGTATAAATATATTATAAGACTAACGGATTATTTCAAAACAGCCAAACTATTACATGACAGTCAAGAAATTTGAAAAGAAAAAAGAAATGATTCGATGAGACCATGGGTCACCATTTCAGGGGTAACTGAAACAATGACTGTTGAGGACACTGTAAAGCTGCAAACCTACTTTCCTGAAGTATGACCATGATTTAAGAGAAATATATGTGGTCTGCTTGTGACGTGGACTGAAGGTGCTGTCCTGGTCTCAGCAATGGTGTAAGAATGTGAACAAGACAGTTTGCTGATGGTACCGTTTGGAGATCCAGGGGTAGGGCCGTGCCTCATCGTGTTTTGGTCTCACTTGAAAACATTACTAAGGGATCCATAGTTCTTTTATGAGCTTGTAGATAGACAAGACATTTAGGAATTCAAAAATTATCACGGCCCTGTGGACAAACGAATTGGTGTTTGCCTCAGAGAAAGGAAATCTGAGATCTTGCAGTAGTAGATATGGAGGTCACTTACTGCAATAGTCTCACTTTTTGTGAGGAAAATGAGCCCAGTGAGCTTTGTTAATGGTCCATACACATTCTGGGTTAAGGGCACTTCTCTCAGATGAAGGGAGTGAAACACAGAAGCCACAGAGTGAGGGTCAAGTAGAGAGAGTGAGAAGACCATATTGTCTCCCAACCTTGGCATAGGTCCCTGGTTCATGGGGCAGGCCTGACCTTAACCTGGTTAGGAAGAAGAGGTGGGGGTGGGGGAAAGAAGATTTACATTGGGTGAGAAATTGAAGTTGTGACTTAAAAAACACTGAACTTGAAAGTGAGTTACAGAGAGCTCAGTGTGATTGCTTTTGTATTTGAAAAAGGTGCAAAAAATGGTCACGGTGCTTGAAATGCGCTCTGAGGAAGGGCAAAGAAAGAAGGCATAAGCAGGAGTGGTTGATTTCAATGATGGAGCAAAAATGAAACAATGGTCTCATTGTATCTGACTTAGCCCTGTTCAGCAAGTTATATTTGTCTACACCTCATCTCATCTGTAGGCCTCTTGGAGAACACTGGGTGTTCTATCCTGGCTTTTATGGAACAAAGAAGAACAAGAGGAGGAGAGAGTAGTAGAGACAGTTGAGTTGAATTTGCTGTTGTCGAGTTGGAGGGACTTCAGAAATGCCCCTGTGCAAATGATGAGTAGAGGGTATCCTCTTTTTTTTTTTTTTTTTCATAAGACTGTAGCTTAGGAGAAAGATCTGGAATGGAGATGGAATTTGGGAGACATTAGATTTTAGATGGTGGTTAAAATAATGGAAGGTAATGCCATTATCTACTGAGAGGTGAAAGAAAAGAGTCTGAAGGTAAGACGTAGGGGACCCAGACATTTGAAGGTATATCTGAGAAACAGGAGTCCACAAGGGAAATGTAAGGAAAACCAGAAAGACAAACATCATGGAGGATATGGCAAGAGTTTTAAGAATGAGTTGTTAAGGAGTCAATAGTCAAATGAAGCAAAGAAGTCAAAATGGAAGGCTACTTTTGTCCTTTGGATTTAGTAAAATGAAAGTCATTTGTGATCTTGGTAAGAGAATTTGGGAGAAATGATGAGGGTAGAACATGATACTGGAAAGAGAGAGAGAGGGAGAGAGAGAGAGAGAGTGATAAGAGACTGAGCATGTTTAAAGCTACTGGGAAGGGACTTTAGGCAGGAAGAAGTTGCATAGAAAGTAAGTGAGGTTGTAGGTGATGGTATAAAATCCTTGGAAAGGCAGAATGAGATAGGGTTAAAAGTCCAAGGGGGAGGAATTGATTTTACTAATGTGAAATGTGAGGAATGACTCTTCTTCAGATAGGAAATTGGGAAAGAGTGGGTATGGGGATGTCAGTTGAGTAGCTACTGAAAAAGCTGATAGACTTTGGCCTCATTAGCAGAGGTATGGCATCAAAATCAAAGGAGGTGACAACCTCCCTGAACTGCGGTCTGGGCAGACATTCCAGGCAATGCTGTGTGCATTCCTTGGGGGGCACAGCTTAAGTGGGAGATTGAGCACCTGTAGAGTGTGCTTATAAAAGTTAAGCCCTAATGAATGTCTGAAAATGACTGAAGAACAGGGAAGTATTAGCCCAAAGACATGAAGATTTGCCAGAGAAATAATCGCAGTCTTCAAATATCTGGAAGAGAGACCAGGGTTATTCTGCTTGGTATTAGAGGGCCGATGTAGGCAATGAAGGGAATTATAGGAGACAAACTTTTTTGGCAATATATTGTGTCTTGAATTTAAGTGTAGACGACTTTTTGGTAAGGGATATAGGAAAAGTAGTTCACAGGGAAATATCCACTTAGCCAAGGTTTCACAGAGAGCTTAGGACTACATAAATGTTTCATTCCAAAAGTATTGAGTTTTTATACTGTGCCAGATACTATGCTGGCTCTGGCCACACAATCTGAATCAGACAATTAGCCTGGAATGAAGTGTGGGAAACAGACATATAAAAAGATACTTATAATACAACCAGCTGCACTTGGCATAGGACACACCATTCTAGAAGACGCTCGTAGCTATTAATACAGTATTAATGTGTTCCATCTATTTATTCATATATTTCATTGCAAACACAATTAAGAACCTTATTCTTCTCAGATACAACATTTTGTGAGTCCAGTGACTGAACTCCTTAAAGAAAACACACAGTTGTCCATAACTAACATGAGGTTTTCAAAGGTAGAAGCAAAATTATGTCAAGAGTTCCTGTTCTGCTGTGAGAGGATCAGAAAGATCACAGGTGCACTGTATTCAAAATAATCCACTAAGTTAAAAAAGAGATAGAGTAATTGGTGCCTAGAAACGTACAAATGTTGTCTAAATATCCCTAACTACCTGTCACTTGTCTGTGTCAATATTTATAAGTTAATATAGTTTTCACATGATACCTGCATGTCCATTGGTTCAATGACTGGGAGAAACCAGGTCCAGCGGAATCTGGGAAACCCATGCAAGGGTTTTAGGTAATGTGCCCGAGTTTAGTGCAGAGATAACAGATATGTGGAAACATGAGATCTGAGATTAGAGGATCCTAACCCAAGACTGGGTGTGGGGTGTGGAAGGAAGGGGAGTAGTCATGGGAGGTAACAATGGCATAGAATGGAACCAGCCAGATGGATGGGAAGAAGAATCCAGCCGAGGCGGACCGCAAAACTAAAGTCCTGCTGAGTGAACCAGCATGAGGTGTGTGCACATATGTGCATGCCTGACTGTTAGTGGTACAGCAAAGAGGTCAGGTGGGTGCCAGTGATGGGATAGAGAAGAAAGCCTTTGAGCAGGGCTGAAAAATCGGAGAGGAGTGTGGAAACATCCAAGTGACCACACTGGAATCCCCGAGACCAGCAGATCCTGCAGCTGGTGTCCAGAAAGAGGTGATACGTGTCTGGACCCTGCAGTGGCTCAGAGTCAGGGAAGGAGATGCCCTGAGACATCCCTAAGACTTGATTTTGAGAATGATGTAGGATTTTGTCATCTGAAGTAGAGGAGAGAGCCTTGATCAGAGATTGGGGAAATAAATACAGATGCCTATGCCTTATGTGACCAAGTATGTACCTCCAGGAAACCCATCAGTTTTTAGGCATCAGTTTCTACATCTGCAAAATGGAGCTGAAGGAGATAACGGCAAAGGTATCTTCAGGCACAACAGCTTAGGATTCTTTTGTTTTTAGCCCGGGATGAGCAGAGCATGATGATACTGTCGTTCATACATCCAAGAAATGTTTGCGACTGAAGAGGAGGAAGACATTGTTTCCTTCCTTCACAGGGAAGGATTAGGTCCTGGTCCCCAGAGCAAGTGTATTCTCCTCCCTGCTCAAGAGGTTTTCACCTTCATTGTTATTCTCTTGGGAACCAGGCCCATTAAGCATGATTAAAAACAGGTCTCATCTAGAGTCAGAGCTGTGCTCTGAGATGAAAATCCTGGGTGCCGTGAACTAAATTTCCTGTAAGAATAAAAGAACCCGCCAAATACTGGCCTTGCTCTAGCTAGTTGTCTATGCTCAAAGCGTAGTATTAAGACTCATCATTTATCTTCATTGTGGGAATTTGTCCTTATGAAAGAATTGTTTTTGGATGTGCATTTTACCACTCTTAGAAAGCTGGTAGTTTTGACAAATCCACAAAATATGTTTCTAATTCCATTCTGTTCCTATTGCGTCCCGGTAATTCTCACATTATTTCTGGAAGATTAGCAGACATGCAGTGGTAGTGACATAATTAGTATTCGGAGGAGATAATAATGTCAAGGGATTTTGTTGTTCTTGGAACCTACATGGAAATAGAAGGAGAGCAAAAGTTGGATTTGTGATAATTTTTTGGCATATGTTGGTGTTTGTTCAGGAAAATTTTAATGCCGTAAATGAGATTGTTTAATGAAAACATGTTGAATAAGACACTTAGAAGAAAGTAGATTTTGTATTCTTTGTTTTACCCACAGCTTCCTCTCTGTAAGGAAAAAGCATTTCTCTTTCTGCAGAATTCCTTTTCTGGTATGAAATGGTTAATCCTGAGAATTGTTTCAGGCAATAAAACACTGACTGGAATCTTTCCGACAATACTTTCCTTCTTGATCTTTTTTTATGACTAATTGAAATGAAAGCCCAGGGAAGCTTAATGTTAAGGAAACACTGTGTGTTCTGTGATGTGATTCTGCAAAGGGAGTGTCTGTGTGGTGGGGAGCTCTCTGCTCTGGAATTTTAAGTTAGAGACCTAACTGAAGAATCAATATTTCAATTAGATGCTGTAGTGGGTTTGGGATTACTGCTACTGTAGCTGGAAGATTGCTGGGTCTTTTCTTGGGAGGGGTCATTACTGTGAGCTGTTTTTTATTTTCTTTTTAATCCCAGCTCTCAGAGTTTGTCTGCTTTGTCTGCACTTGAACCACCGGGGTGACCAACTAGAAAAGAACCAAAAATGTAAATTATTCGTACTTCCTTAAAGGCTACTAATGGCATGCTCTTCAGTAGCCATCCGAGATGAAACAACCAGTATTTCTTATTTTGTAGACTCCTAGGAGCAGTGGCCCTTTGAATTGACAGGACCAGTTTTCAAATCGTGCTTCTGATATGCCCCAATTCGAGAGACCCCCCAAAAACAAACCACCAGAGTCCAGAGCGGCAAGGGTCGTTTATTGCAGGTTCGAACCCGGTCCTCCGCGCACTCGTTGCCGGTGACGCTAAGAGGCCCGGAGCAAGGATCTTACAGCTTCTTTTATAGACAGGCACAAACAAGTTAGGGATTTTTTTTTGAGGTTACAGAGCTGTTATTGGTTGACATTTAAATTTGAACGCTCAGCAGAACTTGATTGGTTCCCGCCTTTAGGTCAGACTACAACCGGGCACGCCCTGGCTGGTTTCGGGAATGGCGGGGCGGGGTTTCTTTGCAGTTGTGAGTACACCTGGTAATTTTTCTCTTAGTCTCTCACTTCAGTGATCAATCACCTGGAGGCATAGTCAGTAAAGAGGTCCTGGGGACACAATGTGCATGGGCCTCCTGTCCCCCACCCTGGATTTAGTCAACTAAAGTTGTTCTACTTTGATCTATTTTATATACCAGCATGCCTCATGTCATGGCGCTTTGCTTTATTGTGCTTTGCAGATACTGCATTTTTGCAAATTAAAGTTGTATGGCAACCCTGCATCAAACAAGTCTACTGACACCATTTATTCCAAAATCATTTGCTCCCATCATGTCTTTGTGTCATATTTTGGTAATTCTTGCATATTTCAAAGTCTTCCATTATTATTATATTTGAATGGCTGCAATCTCACGATAAAGTTTTAATGGATGAGGAGTTGCTTCTTATGGTCGAACAAAGGAGGTGGTCTCTTGATATGGAATATATTCCTGGCGAAGATGCTGTGAAGATCGATGAAATGACACCAAAGAATGTAGATGATCACATCAACTTAGTTGATAAAGCAACAGAAGGGTTTCGAAGAATTGACTCCGATTTTGAAAGAAGTTCTACTGTGGGTAAAATTCTATCAGACAGCATCCCATGCTACAGAGAAATTGTTTATGAAATGAAGAGTCCATTGGTGTGGCAACCTTCACTGTTGTCTATTTTAAGAATAGACACAGCTGCCCCCAACCGTCAGCAGCCACCATCCTGATCAGTCAGTAGCCATCCACATCCAGGCAAGACCCTCCTGCAGCAAAAAGATTCTGAGTCACTGAAAGCTTAAATGATGTCTAGCATCTTTTAGTAATAACGTGTTTTTATTTTTCATTTTTTAAAGCGTATTTATTTTGAGAGAGAGAGAGAGGCACGTGTGAGTAGGCAGAGAGAGAGGGAGAGGGAGAATCCCAAGCAGACTCTGCCCTGACAGCACAGAGCCCCATGCGAGGCTTGATCCCACAACCTTGAGATCATGACCTGAGCCAAAATCAAGAGTGGGTCGCTCAACTGACCAAGCCACCCAGGTGCCCCAGCAAAAAAGTATTATTAATTTAAGGAATGCACATTGGTTTTTTTTAGACACAATGCTGTTGCACACTTAACAGACTACTGTGTAGTATAAAACACAAATTTTATATGCACTGGGAAAACAAAAAATTCATTTGGCTTGCTTTATTGTGGTGGTCTGGAACCAAACCTGCAGTATCTTCAAGGTAATACCTATATTGAGTTTCATGTGAAGTTTGATTTGAAAAATGGTTTTGTTATTTACAAACCATGAGTGAAAGTGACTGATCATAGATCAAACATCCTGGACTTCCTCGCAGTCATCTGTTTTCCACTGAACCGTTTCTAGGGCGGAGCAGTCATGACTTCGTCATTTTACATAAAATTATCACCAGCGCCAGTATGAATTGAAAATATTTGGGCCACGATATTCCCACCTGCTTTTGAAATCTTTCTTCATCAGGATGACATTTTGTCACCAAATGCTGTTTCACAGTATGGCCAAGAATAGTTATTGTAATCCTGGGAATAAATGGAATACCTTTCCCTCTTACTTCTGGTTTTTCCAAAAGAGGCACAGCAGCTCTATGAAGTGATTATTTCTCCAGTCCTTTTTGTCTGTGTTTCTGTCAACACTTGTAGCATCTTTATTTAAAATCACGTCATATAATATACAACACGATCTGGAAGAGACATCAGAAATATTTAGTCTTATCCAACAGTCTTATATTCCCAAACTATCTCCTCCACACCTACTGTATTGCACCAGTATAATGAAAGCAAAGAGTGATGGCTAAGTTAGAGAAAATTACGTGTTATCTATTTTTCCTACTAACTTTTTGAGAACAGGGATTACATTTTATTCAACTATCCTCAGGCCCAAGAGCACTGCCTAGCACCCAATAGATACTTAACAAATGCATTTTGTTAATCTGGAATCAGAACACCTGTGTTTGAGTTCCTTCCAAGTCATTTACTGGCTGACCTTCAGCAAAACATTTCACTCCTCTGAGCTTCCACTTCTTCAAATGTAATTTGTGGGAATTAGAACATTATCTCAGGTTGTTGAAAGAATTGAATGAAAGACTATGAAACACTATCAAAAGCCCGAGTGAAGAAATAAACAGATTATTTGAAGGATTTACAGTCTAAGCATTTATCAAGACACTTAAAACTTTGTCTTAGGATCAAATTAAATCCTAAGACTGATCACATACTATCTTATTTGGCACCTCATAGAATCTCCATCAAATTCCTTTTAATTATAGTTTTTCAATTATTTCAATGTGTATGAACTATTCAAAACAGTTACAAGGATCTTACAGTTCTATTCCCTATAAAATGTTGACAAGGAAGACATTTTACCACAGTGCTCAGAACTCCCTATATACTCATTTAACATTTAGTACCATGAAGAGATTTAATTCTTTTAAAGGACTGGTATATTTTGATATTAGAGAATAACGTAACTGACTATGTTACCATTTTTCCTTTGGCTGTTGGGAAGCTCAGAGCAAAATTTGAGGCTAAATTAGAGGCAATTAAATTACCAAAAACAGCAGCAAGAGTAACTGATCTCGTCATTCTTTTTGGTTTGTATTACATAGTCTTGATTTGTTTTTTAACCTATACATATATCTATCCAGCAGCTGATTCACATTCATGTAAATCATTTAAATTTTAAAATTGTTTTATTGACTGTGTTTCTCAAGTTACTTATGGAATAATTCACTACACAGGTAAATAAAATACCTGCATATAAAAGAATATTTTGTGAAATTTAAACATCTATTGTTTAAGTGGCTAGTACTTAGTTCATCTTTGGAAAACTTCAGAACAATATTGAAATGGACCCTAACAGATATTGTACTGTTAGAATCTGGGGTGAATTTTTCCTTAGCAATAAGATTTATTGAGTTGGATTAAGGAAAACAATTAGAGACATAATCATGGATTATTAAGGAAAACAATTAGAGACATAATCTCTGCCTGCCTGATGAATTTATGTATGTATTTATTTATTTATTTATTTTATTTAAAAAAATTTTTTTTTCAACGTTTATTTATTTTGGGGACAGAGAGAGACAGAGCATGAACAGGGGAGGGGCAGAGAGAGAGGGAGACACAGAATCGGAAACAGGCTCCAGGCTCTGAGCCATCAGCCCAGAGCCCGACGCGGGGCTCGAACTCACGGACCGTGAGATCGTGACCTGGCTGAAGTCGGACGCTTAACCGACTGAGCCACCCAGGCGCCCCTGCCTGATGAATTTAAATCCACTATTGCATCTTAGAGATTAGTTTCCCCAAATAAGGTGCTGAGTTTGGGAGCAGAGGCTGGAAGAACTTGTATTTCATTGGTTCAGAGTACCAGAGGTTCAGGTGTGGATAACTTCCTTGAAGTGAGCATTGTGGGAGGGAAGAGAGGTGATATTCAGTATCCATCCCTTCTTCCTCTTAAGGGATATTTCTCATTATGTATGTAGATTTGGTGGGATGCAGAACCCACTTAACACAATGTGAAGGAGGAAATCTGGGAGATTCTTATGATAGTCCCTAGCAGCCTGGGGCATGAGTATGTAACTGAAGTTGATCCAAAATAAGTGCAGTCTGGGACCTTAGTTTTATAATTTTGAGGGAAGAAAACCTCTCAGAGCTTTTCAGTATAGTGAAGTGTATAGAACTTTCAAAGCCGCAAACAAAATCCAGCTGAAGATAAAGTCGATACAGAGAAGTGGGAAGTGTGGAGAGAAAGGCAGAAAATGAGTCTAGAGCTATGATCCTACTACGTCTGAAACCTGCTCATCTTTGAAATTTCCAATTATTATTTAAATTAATTTAAATTAGATTTTGTATTCCTTGCAACCAAAACACCCTAACTGGTATAACACTCACCCCCCCCAAGTCTAATAATTAATGTATATATCTACGTTTATGAAGGTCTAATAGATGCTGGGAATAGCTCAGAAGCTATATAATATTAACTGTGCTCCATCAGGAAATCCAAAAGCACCAATTCCAGAAAATCCATTATAAGGGGGGGAAAAGTGGAAAGTGGAAACAACACAGGTCCTGTGAAAATTTATTGTAAACTAAATAGCACTCAAAACTCAGAGGAAATACGGTTGTTGGAAAACGACTCACACTGGATC